CCAATCACCGCAGGGGTGTCCCCTGATGGATCCGCCCCGCAGCCAATCAGATTGACTACAGGGAGGTCCCGCCTCCCTTTGCCGCTCCTGCCAATCAGACTCGGGGACGGGCGTTTCGTCCCGCCCTTTCCTGCGCGTGGGCCAATGGGAGCCGCCGCCCGCGCCGGCCCCGCCCCTTCCCGCGCGGTTCCATTGCCGCGCGGCCGCACGTGGCGGGACCGTGACCCCCAAATGGGACCCCAAATGTGTCCCCAGTGTCACCCCCGGGACCCTGAATGGGACCCCAGATGGGACCCCAAATGTGTCCCCAGTGTCACCCCGGGACTCTCAATGGGACCCCAGATGAGACCCCAAATGTGTCCCCAATGTCACCCCGGGACCCTAAATGGGACCCCAGATGAGACCCCAAGTGTGTCCCCAGTGCCCCCTCTCGGGACCCCAACTGTCCCCGGTCCCATCCCGGGACGGCCGGAGCTGCCCTGGTCCCACTCGGGGTCTCCCTGTGCCCCCCAGTGCCCTCCCAGTCCCCTTCCGTGGTCCCCAGGGCCCCCCTCGCACCCCTCCGTGTTCCCCCAGTATTGCCCTGTGCCCCCAGTGCCCTGCTGGGAGCCCCCACTGTCCCCCGCTCCCATCCCGGGCCCCCAGTGCCCTTCTCGGACCCCTCCTGGGACCCCCGGTGTGCTGTGAAGCCCCGTCCCCGCCGTGTCCCCCCAGTGCCGGTGCAGGGGCCGCGGGCGGGTTCAGGTTCAGGGCATTTTATTGGAGAGCAGGAGCGCGGTGGGGTCGCAGCCCCGGCCCGGGGGCACAGGGGGGCGCGGGGGGCTCCGGCCCCCCCGGGACGGCCCAGGCCGGGGGTGTCCCGGGGTCTGTAGTGTCTGAGAGCAGCGGGGGGGTCCCGGATCCCCCCGGGGAAGCGGCTCCGGCTCCACCCGCGAGTGGGGCCGGGGGGGGCAGTGGGGGGTCCCCGGGGGGCGGGGGGGAGCGCAGGGGACCCTCATCCCGTTCCGGGGGACCCTCAGGCGACGAAGTGTTGTCGGAGGTGCTGCAGCAGGTCCGGGGTGAGCAGCAGCCGGTGCGCCTGGCCCTGCCCCGGGGGGCACGGGAACGACACCCGCCCGCACAGCGCCGGGCCCTGCGCCTGCTCCTGCTTGGCCTGCGGGACAGGGTGTGAGGCACCGGGAACCCCCGGCACCCCCATCCCGCACACGGGGGTCCCACCCCGCCACCGCATCCCCACCGCGACCCCCGGGATGGGCTGAGCCCCGTGGGAGGAGCTGGGCGTCCCGACCCGCCCCATCCCTCGGGAATCGGGGTCCCTCGGGAACCGGAGTGCCTTGGCACTGGGGGGGTTCCCTCGAGACTGGGGTTCATTAGGATTGGGGGTCCTTTGGGGTCAGGGCCCTTCTGGATTGGGGGTCTCTTAGGACTGGGGTCCCTCAGGATCTGGGGTTCCTTGGGGTCAGGGTTCCTTGGGACTGGGGGATCCCACGGGGTTGGTGTTCCTTGGGACTGGGGATCCCTCAGGATCAAGGGTCCCTTGAGATCGGGGGGCCCTCAGGATTTGGGGGATCCCCGGGGATCAGGGGTCCCTGGGGATGGGGGTCTCACCTTGAGGAAGGAGGAGGAGGGGAAGGTGCCGAAGGTGGTGCTGACTCCGGCGCCCGGCTGCTGCTGCACCATCTCCCTCAGAGTGTCGTCCTGGGGGGCACGGCACTGTCACCACCACAACTGCCCCACAGAGCCCCTCACCCACCCCACAGAGCCCCTCACCCACCCCACAGAGCCCCTCACCTGCCTCAGGAAGCCCCCTGCAGACTCCATAGAGCCCCTTGCCCAACCCACAGACCCTCCTGCCACCCCAGAGAGCCCCCTGCCCCCCCTGCATCCCCGGGCACAAGCCAGAGGGATCAGACCCGACTGTTTTGGAACGGGAATGGGAAGGGGCAGCACGGAGAAGCCCCCAGGCCCAGCCACGGGGCTGCCCTGAGATGTGACCCCCCCTCCCACCCAGCCTGGGGGCCCGGAGGGCTGGGCAGGGGGTGCCACCGGGCCCCCCACCCTGGGGAAGGCCCCTCCTCACCTTCAGGGCGTCGATGGTGTTCTTGAGGGCGCAGAGCCGAGCTGTCTGCTCCAGGAGGCGAGCCGAGGAACTGCGGGCTGCGGGAACGGCACCGACGGTGTGGGAGGGGATGGGACACGGCACCAGGGATGGTGTGGGGTGTGTGGGACAGGGACACAGCACCAGGGATGGTGTGGGATGGGACAGGGACACGGCACCAGGGATGGTGTGGGAGGGGATGGGACACAGCACCAGGGGTGGTGTGGGGTGTATGGGACAGGGACACAGCACCAGGGATTGTGTGGGATGGGATGGGACACGGCACCAGGGATGGTGTGGGATGGGACAGGGACAGGGACAGGGACATGGCACCAGGGATGGTGTGGGGTGTATGGGACAGGGACACGGCACCAGGGATGGTGTGGGGCATGTGGGACAGGGACACAGCACCAGGGATGGTGTGGGGCGTGTGGGACAGGGACACAGCACAGGGATGGTGTGGGATGGGACAGGGACACAGCACCAGGGATGGTGTGGGGC